GCAACGGGTCAGCCAAGCCAAGAATCTTTAAATGCTCGGATTTACACCGAGTTAGCATTCGATAGTGCTAGGGTGTCTGAAGTGGTAAGGCCACAATACTATTTGGAGGTCAGATGCTGCTAAAAGCATGTCCATGCTGTGAGTTAGATACTGGGCGTTGGCAGAGAATCGGGCAGGTGAGGCATCCCACTCATCTGTGTGGCCCAGCCCCGGCTGTCCAGCTGCCAGGCAGCTCATTCTTCTCTGCCGTCTCCAGGGGCTGGTCTGCTCTCACGTGGTCTCTCCTGGTTCTTCACTTACTTTCATTGTTTTCTCTGGGAAGTGGAGGATGTCTGCCCATCTGTCCCTCCCTCATGAATCAAATTAGAAATATAATTAACAATTTAGGGTCCTTCTTGTGAAATGCCTCTCTATTAGAAATAAGTACTTTATTCCCAGTAATACCACTCTTTACAGAACACAGAAGCTCACACCTGTATCATCTGCAGACACCTGCCTTATGGCACCACTCTCAGTGCAGAAGACAGATGTAATAAGAGATGGTCACAGAACTGATCATACCTGAGAATCTGGAACACCTCCAGCTTCTGTCACAATGTCGTGTTTGTCACTGTTTTCTTCATCTTGTTCAATTGCTTTAAACAAAGAAAAGAAAAAATGTTTAAAAAAAAGGTAGCATCATAAGAAAACAGTTTTAGATCATTTCCTTTCAGATGGTAATTTGGCAGGAAAAAACAATGTGAGGTGGATTCACAAAATGTAAATATCAGCATTATTTTTTATTATTCGGTTGAAAGTTTAAGTAACCGCACTGGGCATTTTTCATGTACATTATCTTGTTTATTAAATCAATGGCAGTGGAAAAGTTTGCTCTAATTTCTTCTCTTAACCTATACCCATCCTGACATCAGCTTGTCAGTATTGTGCTTCATCCAAGAGGGAATTGGGGTGTAGTCGAAAGCTTCTATCAAGTTTATCTGAGAACTTTTTTTTTAAACAATGTGAGGTTTTTTTTGGCTGGTAGTTTATGGTCACATAATAAAGAAAGCATAATACTGTCTATTTAGACCTCTCCAGTGTATTGTTACCACAGAATTCCAAACTGTGGAATCTTGAATCGACCTCCTCTCCCATGTTTTCCCCAGCATCTCCCTATTCAAGTCCTGGTCACCTTTCCTGGGCTGGTGCAATCATTCCCTAAGACAAAGCTCGTAATTCCTCTCCCTCATACAATACAGCTGGGGCACAACCGCTTAAATAATCAGTCTCAAAAAATAAAACAAGTGCCATGCTTTGGTCAATGTATCGCTTATCTTATCAAGTATGAATTCCCTGTTCATCATTGAAGGTCTTCCTTGAATTCTCTAGCTTCCTCCTAATCTCCAGCTTCACAATGACATTCAATACAACCCTGATCCAGGCAGAGGGATTTCATTATTTTACTCTTTGTACAGTTTGCTCTTTCACTTTCAAAATATTTACCAAGTGCCGACTATGTGCCTGGCATGGGAGCTACTCCTGGAACAAGGCGGGTAAGCCCTGACTTCATGAAGTACACATTCTAGCTGGGAAGACAGCCAGTGATCAGCAACTCCTACTACTACATCTAACAATAACAATCATAATAATTATAAATATAATATTTAAAAAACAAGATGGTCATGACAAATGGGGATATGACAGAAAACAAACTGGGGGAGGCCACTTTAGGGAGGGGGGCAGCAATGGTGATTCCCTGAAGAACTGTTATTGGTGTGGGACCTCAAAGTTGAGATGGAGCCATCCATGTCAGGTGAGGGTGACAGGAGCTAGAGAGAGCACAGACCACTCTGTGAATTCAGATTTTAGCCAAAAAACAGGGGAAAGCACTAAGGAATATTAAATTGGGAATCACATGACTGATGCATATTTTCAAGAGTTCTTTTTGGCAAAGAGACTCAAGAGAAGCAAGCGAGGAAACTGGGAGACCAGTTTGGTAACTGTTGCTGACAACCTGACTAGAGATGAGGATGACTCAGACCATGGAGGTGGCGATGAGCTGAAGACACATGGAGGATCTTAGCTGAATTTTTACACAAAATGGACACCACCTGTCAATGAACTGAATATGGCTGGGGCGTTGGGGGAGATGAGGATAAGAAACAATCAAGGATGACTCCTAAAGTAGAGTAAGTTATTCCTTGCATCTGCCATGCCATTTTTTTCTTTTGCCCTCTCCAACAAAAGCAGGGCAAAAACATCACCAGTCTTGTTGACAGTGAGGTCACACACTGTACTTATGGGTTCAGTTCGCATTGTTTTGTGGACTTTCAAATACTGTGCTCTCTGCTCTGTATTTTTTTAAAGTATCATTTCACATACCTTTTGCTTATGTACGCCTTTTATGCCTACTTTGTGGTGCTTACCACGGAGCACACCTAAAGTACTGTGCACGCAGTATGAGCTCTGTCAAAACTAACGGGATGAACGGTTCCTCCCCATTTGCCCCAAACGGCACAACGTGACCACCCGTACTTACCGAAACGACTGCTTTCATAACTCTTTATGAAAAAAGAGGGGAGGGAAATTCTTCTATTAAACACCACGAATAACTAGGATAATTCCTATCACCGAGCATCTGCAGGCAAGGCAGGAACAGTGGAAGTGGATAGAAGATTTTCTTCTATTTTCAGCAAAAAGTTCCATTCATGCCTGTTCAAAGGGGGTCCCCTGTTGCTACTCTTGCCCGATTATGAGAAAACTTAAGAAGAAAACTCCCATGTTTTCTCTGAAAAACTAGAGGCAAGAATGCCAAAAGAAAAATACAGAATAACACTGTAAATTCCACTTAAAAATGCATTGGCTAGGGGCTCCTGGGTGGTTTAGTCAGTTAAGCGTCCAACTCTTGATCTCAGCTCAGGTCTTGATCTCAGCTCAGGTCTTACTCTCAGGGTTGTGAGTTCAAGTCCTGCACTGCACTCTATGCTAGGTATGGAACCTACTTTAAAAAGAAATGCATTGGCTATAGAAGTAAGGAACTCTATTTAACTAATTGAAATAAGACTTTCCTCAACCTGTAATGCGGAATCATTCTCCTGGAGGGCAACTAATGTGGGACAAGAGCACCCATATGAAGTGTGAACCATACCTTGGCACTTCATTTATGCTTTAATTTGAATTTTTGCTCTTTAATGTTTCAGTTTAGATGAAAATGAAGAAAATTAAATTTTGGAATATTTTGCCAACTAAATTCATGTTTTTATTTTTTATTTTTAATTTTTTAAGAGAAGACATTGCACAGCATTTATTTGAGTTAATCCATTTCATTCAATAATCTGCCATACTGTTGTTGTCACGTTAAGATTATTGCATTACTATTTCTTTTTTGAGAGGACCATGCTTTTAAAAAATCTGGGTTGGATTTCCATGATGTCTAACTCTATAAAAATCTTTTTCCTTACCAAAAGGCAATCCCTTCATCACAAGAGAAACAGGAAAAACTGAGATTTAGTTGTAGAAAGTGATCTCTCCCAGAAAGAATTCATAGTCCATAATCTTTCAGGGTTGTACTTTTACCTGGGGCTTCTTTGGGGGGAGGAAGCTGTCTCTCATAGATATTTCCTTAAAACAGAGAACATGCCCTACTGCATCACAGAAGGGAAATAAGGTCTAGTCCCTAGAGAACAGACAGGTGGTCCTCCAGGAAAGGAAGCCTAATGGCTCCCAGGTGACATTCTGCCAAGGTCAGGGGACAGAGTCAGTGACACTCTGGCTCTGACCAGTCAGCAGTAAAAAGGTCTAACCAGGTGAGTGGGCGAGGTAGTAACTAGCTTCCAGTTAGAATCTCTAGCTCAGGAACATCTGTGTTTGAATAAGATGGAGCTGGAGGGGAGTCATTACAGAGTCTGGAGAAAGTGACTAAAAATTGGCAAGTGTGAAAAAGATATAGGTTTCCTACCAGGGGACCCACAGAAAGGGGGCACCACCAGGGCAGTCCTGTGCTTTTCTTTGAGAAGATACTACACTGAGTGGGTTCTGCAGTTTTCAGATAACTGGAATGATACTGACCAAGTGGAAAGTTAAATCACAGTTTCCATCCATGGTTCAGAAAACACTGACAGAACACCTGTGTGCCAGGCAAAGGACAGCTGTTGAGAAAAAATCTGGCTAAGATGTGATCCTGACCGGAAGGAGCCATCTAGCAGTGGCCATCAGACCCCTGCACACCACAGAATGCTGTGTCCTCAGAGCCGCATGGAGGAAAGGATGGCTTCTGGCTGACATGATCAGGGAAGGCCATTCCAGATCCTCTCCTCTTGGTACTCAGTGTGTCCTCTGTGTCTCTAGGTTACTGCTCAGCCTGGCCCATTCCAGGCACTTGCTTATTTTCCTTATCTTCCTTGGTGTGTGAGAAATGGAAGTTTGAGAGGATAAGATCCTGCCTCACTGGTGCCTAGTGTATGTGGAATTGATGTGTCGTGGAAATGTCACTCTGTCTTGGTTCAGAAAGGTGGAAAAAATTTGGGGAAAGGAGAGCTAAGATGGGTGATAAGGGTATGGTGTTTTAGTCAGAAGGTGGGAGCAAAGTTATACCAACAAGCAGTTTTAGGACACAGTTTAATCCACATGATAGAAAGAGCACCAACACTGCCAAGGGCCTCAAGAAGGTAGTTGGAAGCCCTCGGCCAAACAGGTGAGTCTGCAGAATTGGGAAGCTTAAATCCTTCCCTATTATCTAGTCAAGCTCAACCAGAGCATATGAAAGAATAATGAATAACTAGAGGGTCCTCAGTTTCTGAAAGTAGAAAGATCAAGTAAACTCCCCCAGCATCCACCATCACCCCCCCCAAAACAGTGAAGTTGAATGTCAAAAGTGTAGAGAAAGTTTTTGAATATCTTCTTTAAGTGTGTGTTTTTTTTTTTAGAGGCAACTTGAATTCTTTTTAATTCCATTTTAAGTGACACCGATTTTCAACTGGAGTTCATAAATTCTTCTTTTGCCAGACAAAATTACATATTAGATTTTTTCAGGTTTATTTTTCTAAACTAAGAAGAGAAAGCAACATGTCATACATGGTCAAGGTTAACATTCGTACAGTGGTTTTACAGTTTACAAAGCTTTCTGTGCACATACAATGTCATTTAGTTCTTAGGAGCCATTCTTTGGGGAAAGGGCGGAGCGGAGAGTCGACTTGCCCAAGACTGCCATCGATGATCAGGCTGTGGACCAGGATTCCTTATGACCAAGCGATGTGCTCACAGGACAACTCTGCTCTAATGAAGAAACATCTCACTTTTGAAAGGAAGCCTTCCAACCTAGGAAGAGGGGACCCTTTATTTATGTTCACTTTTTCACATACACAAGAGACAGCATCTGTTCTAGAATCCAACTGGATTTTATTTGACACAGAATACAATATGGCTGCAGGAATAGCAAACTGAGAAGACAAAGCAGAAACGACACAGTTCTATCTAATTTATAATTAAGTAACAGGAGGGCAAGTCATTAAATGAATAACAGAACAGTTGGGCTCGACGGAAGAATTCTTTTTCTAGTGCCCATACTTTTGGAATTTCCACTCTCTGTTGTCCAACGGACACACCTGCCATGTTTTGAGCCAGCGAGAGATACAGTGGAAGTGAAAAGCATGGTTACAGACTCCCCATACAACAGTGCACTCTTCAGAAGTAGCAGACGCCTGGTTAGCTTGACATTCTATGCAAAGATCCATAATGTGGTTCCTGCAGATGGCACAGTTATCAACCACAATATCCCAGGCCCAGAGGGCTACTGCATTCCACTTTTTCACTTCAAAGCGCTTCTTGCCCGCGCCGCTGTTGGTGCCGCTCAGGGTATCCACATCCATCGCTGCCGCCATTTTGGAAACAAAAGGTCCCTTTAAGTGTGTTTTTGATGTTTTGGTCTACAAGCAATCAAGATGGAGAGAGATGCCATCCCAAAGGGGAAAGTTTGTAGGAACCAGAGTAGTTGAGCCTGACCATCCATGATGCCTTTAGACTTACACAAAACCATGTCTACAAGGACTCTCCCAAATGAATCAGCCAGGCAAGCCAGTGGCCACTGTGTAGGAGGGTGTGATATGGTCCACCAAGTCCTGAGTGAAGAGGCCCAAGGGCCCCAGGCTCTGATAAGGGATACTCTGAGGCCAGAAGACAACCCAGCTCAGTTAAGTCATAGTAACTGTGGAGGGGCGAGGACTCAAAGGCAGGACCTCTTGAGCAGAAACCATCCTATGTTTTTGTTTTTAAAACAACATTCTGGTGATGGGTATTAAAAAGGGCACATATTGAATGGGGCACTGGGTGTTATACGCAAACAATGAATCATGGAACACTACATCAAAAACCAATGATGTACTGTATGGTGATTAACATAACAATAAAACAAAATTAAAAAAATAACATTCTGGTGCTCTATGCATTAATTATTTCACATTATACTACAACAGAGGACATGCAGGACAATGAATAACAATTTCAGAATTGAGAGTGAACACTATTTTTTAAGATTTAGGCGTAATTCTTAGTACATATAAATAGAAACAAAGGAGGTAGGGATTAGCATAAAAGTATACTTAGGAGAAAGATTCAGTCCTCTATTCCTGGCTTATCCCCAAACAACAATACTACATTTCTTGTCACATCTTTGAAGACCTCAAAATTAGTTGCCCAGCACTATAGTTCAATTCACAGAGCCAGAACTACAAACACAAGCAAGTTCACGAGGGATATGGCAAAGGCAACGCGGCAATCCATCTCAGTCTGCACAATGAAGACTCAAAATTCTGGGAGACTCTTATCTGCAGCTCCCTGATGACAAGGACAAGAGTGTGGTCTCCTTCAATACATAAGTAACATTATTTTCTTGGAAATACTGAAAAAGTATGATTCCAAGAATATATTTTAGCTGGGAGTTCACATGTACTACTTGGGAACAAAAATATACTTATGCTGAGGATTTATGATCACCCTGGGATGCCTCATGTATGAAATACACAGTCAGTCACCTAAAAAGGAGTGTTCTAGTGACCGCTGAATATGAAGATGGATGTCAAGAAATACATAAAAAGACAATCTCTTTCTTCATGCCTCCTAGTGGTATGCCTCACGTGATAGAAGGAGGAGGAAGCAGTTATTTAGATTTTTGAGCTGAATTTTCTTTTATCTGATCAGAGTAAGAGTAGGCTGGGGAAAATTTCTTACGCAAATATTGATTCTGGGACAGTTCCCTCCAGTGGAACACGTACACAGGAATGACAGCTTCTGGGACCAAGGGAGGCTCTGAGCCACCCTCTCTGCCAACACAAACCATCTCCTTATCTCTCAACACAGAGTCTAAAAGCAAGAAAAGGCCTTTGAAAATAACTTACCACCACAAATGTCACAAGCACAAGATCTAAAGCGTGTATTTTGAGTGGTGAATATGAGAGTCCGCATGAGAACTAAGTGTATCTGTGGATTACTTAGCACTAATATCACAGAAGAGTACTTAGTTTAAATGTATCTATTTGTAAGTTAGCCAAGAGCCATTCAAGATGAGCTACTGGAGACAGCCTCCAAGATTTTAGGGCTTGGGGCACCTGGGTGGCTCAGATGGTTAAACGTCTGCCTTTGGCTCGGGTCCTGATCCCAGGGTCCTGGAATCGAGCCCCGCATCGGGCTCCCTGCTCGGCGGGAAGCCTGCTTCTCCCCCTCTCAGTGCCCCTGCTTGTGTTCCCTCTCTCGCTGTGTCTCTCTCTGTCAAATAAATAAATGAAATCTTAAAAAAAAAAAAAAGATTTTAGGGCTTGCCTTAATATCACTTCTGTGTTATCTTCAGAACAGGTCTTCTCTCCTCATGACTTACTAGGAAGATTGCTAAGAAAACTTTCTTGATAACTCTATTAATATTATTAAACACAGAGAAGACTGATGTCCTTTCAAAACAATGCTTATTTAATCTCTGATCAATTTTGCCAAGGTAAGAAAGAGCCGTACTCACAGAATATTAAACAGAATGATCATAATGCACTAGGTGACTATACTTGAAAGTGTTCTTTGCAAACCAACCAAACTAATTTTTTTCTTATTGACAAGCCAACCCCAAATTTCACTTGAAATTTAGCATTTCAACTCTCCATCTGAGAAACCAGCAAATACAGTCAAGAAAAAGAATTCACTGAGTACTTGGCCAAGAATTAAAATTTGGGCAATAATAGAATCTTTCACCTTTGTAGCATTTTTACAGAGAGAGAATTTTCATAAAGGGTTTCATCTGATGTCCATACACCCTGAAGATGGGGACGGGTAAGACCCCCCCCATTTTAGAGAGGAGGTTCAGTAACCTGTGCTAGCCCTTCCTGTATGATGTGTGTATGTATCTGCAGTGGTTCGAGTCTGGCGCGGATGGCACGGTACGGTGCTGGTCACACCGCACACCGGTGAGTCTGTTCATGTGGGTCCTGACCAGTATTTCTTTTCTAATGAAACACAACATAGTGCAATAGAAAGAACAGAAATGAAGTTTAAACATCAAAATGCATCCCCACTAGTAACATCGAGAATTTCTCACCCATGTGGATGAGACACGTACCAGGTCGGGCTGTTTTGTGTGTTCAGTGGGTTGTGGACTTTACCACGCTCAGAAAACACTGAGGTGTTTCCAGGACACATGAGGCAGAGCCCTGTTCCTCGTTATCTAAATAACCAGCTATGTTTTTGTACCATTCCTGGAGAAAGGCCCTAATATTTATTTTAGGAGGCTCCTCTCCAAGGCTCCATCCCCATTCAGCGGGCAGTGCGTTCCCTCGGAGGTGGCGTGCAAACAAGCTGGCAGCGAGAAATGCTGATCGAGTCTATTTATTTTTGGTTACCGATATATAATCACAAATGCTTCAAAATGCTCAGATCTTTTCTAGTCTTTAAAAAGTAAGGGAGAAAAAGCAGTTACAGCCTTCACTTCATTGCTGTATTTTTTTTTTAGTGTTAAAATTGGAAAAATATCGCTCAGCATTCACCATCAGGATAGGCCATATAGTACTATAATCTGGCCCATCCAGAGCGCCATCGGAACGTCGCTTTGAAAGCTGACCGATGCCTGCGACATCTCTGTCCCACTTGTCTTTTCTCAGTCCCAGTCGGTTCAGCCTCTGAGCTGAACTTGAGATGGTTGTTTTAAAACTCTCTGTTCTGGGTCCTTATCATCCTCGAAGCCTCTAAAAATGCAGGTTTCCTGCAGGCTCTCTTTTCTCTCTCTGCCACTTTCCTCGGTGATCTTATCTGTTCCTGCGGTTTCAATTTTCACAGTTATGCACGTTATTCCCAAATCTGTGTCTCCATCTCTGCTCTCTTCTCGGAGCCCGAGACTATGTCTCCAGTTTCACACTCAGCAGCTTCATCATGCACCTGCGACGGGCAAGCTGCTCTCACAGGGCAGTGGCACAGCCTCTGTCCCCGGGGATGGACAGAAAGGTCTAAAATCACAAGCATCATGTCTACTGGATTCCACAAGCCTCTTCCTCCTCCTGCAGAATTTTAGTTTAAGTCACCACCAGGTGTCTTCATGTTCCTCCTTCCCCTCTGCCCTCGCATCAGTCTCTCACTACACCCCATCGCTTCCACCTCTGAAATGTCTCCATCCTCCTTCCTCTCTGCCAAGGTCATAGCTCAGGACTGCACCACGTCTCCCCTGGACCACCACCACAGCCTCCCAGCCAGCCTTTCCTCCGGTTCATTCTCTCCTCCACACAGGTGCTAGGTTCCACTCCCAAAAGGCGAGTCTGATCACACTAGCACCCCATCCCTTTAGACTCCCGCCTCTCCCCACCCAGACAACATGAGAGTCACCCAGGAGCCCAAGCACCAAGTGAGGCCCCATCCCTGGCTTCCTTGATGCAGTGGGGCTTAGAGGACTATGCAGGTTTGACCCCTGTGGCCCCTGTGACCCCCATTCTATGAAACATTGAGGCGGAAGCCTCAACCTGACCCTGCTAGCGAGGTCCCTGGGTCCCAGACTCTCTCCCCAGCGGCATCTCGCACATTTCTTTCTTTCTAGCCTGGAATGCCTTGTCCCTGCCTTCAACGGGTGAAAATCCTCTGGTCCACTGGGCTCTTCAGTTCTAACACCATCTCCTTAGTGACGATCCTTCTGAGTCCTCACTACTTGCACCCAAGACTCTAGATTAAATGGAGTCCTTCCTCTTGGCCTCACAAAGCTCTTTTTCTGTATGCGTGCATTTTCTTATCTCAGTGTTTTATAGCTAGCAACACGAACCTCTGTCTTTATTAACCTACACTATGAGTTCCTCAAGAGCAGAGAGTGTGTTTTCCCATTCTAAGCACCTGGAATGATTTCTACAACATAGTGCTGCTGAGTAATTGTCTATTGAACTGAACTAATATGACCAAATCAGAAAGTAAAAATTATAAGGCAAAGATACAAACACTCACTGGCCCATCCAGTTTGGGGGAGAGGGTAAGATGATAGAAAAAGAGTCTTCAAGGAGAAGGTGGATTCTGATGGGTGGAGGAGGTGAGGGGAAGAAAGGCAGTCAAGGTGGATAGCTGGTATAAACAGAGGTAAGGTGGAGAAAAGCATGGGCTCTGACATGGGCCCAGCAAGCTGTACCCAGTGTTGTGGAAAACCAGAAAACAAAGCCAGGACAGTTGGCTGGGCTTCTATGTTAGGCTGACGAGACTCATTTAGTAGCAAGTGAGGTGATGTGAGCAAAGAAACTATCACCATCATTCTGCTAACGATGTACAGCTCTTGAGCTCTTATGTTTCAAACACATGTTCTCCATGTGGGCGCTCCCATTCGATCTTTCCCATACCCCTCTGCTGGAGATCCTGGCAAGGCTGGCCTGAGGTACGTGGCCACTGTGAGCAGGCTA